GAGGCTCTTGGATGATATTTTGAAAATAAGTCTTCCTGGGCTGGCACTCTGGGCCCTGCCAGGTCAATCAGCATGTACTGATTAATTATCACAAGTCCAGTGCTGTGTTGAGCAAGCCAGATGTTTTTAGCTGTGGAGAGGGCATAGTGCCAAGAACAAAAATGCAGTGAATAAAGAAATAAATCCCATGCTTTTGGAGCCGCAGCCTTGTATGATAGTCGTCAGCATCCTCTGAGCAGAGAGCAGGACTCTCACCCCATGAGCACTCCGGGCCCTGTAGTAATGGCCAGGAGTTGGCCCAGCCTGCCCCCAGGAGCTGAGGACTCCCTGGCACCCCGTGTTCCTGGCTTACCTAAAGCACACCCTCCGAGTGTGAAGACTGAACTCACAACTGGCCCGAGTCTTGGTCAGTTTTCCTTGTGGGGCCCTCACTCAGGTGGAACCTCAGGTTGGAACCTGGCCTTCCATGACCATGGCTTTTCCTGGCCCCTCAGCCACGTGGGGAGGGGCCTGTCCCTGATGTCCAAAGCCAACCACGGTAAGCAGGTAGTTGTGACCTTAAGCAGAAAGGGGAAGGTCAAGACTTGATTGTGGGAAGCCCCAGAGTAGTTCTGTTGAACAGACAAACTCCTGTCCTTAGAGGGGGCTGGATTGTTAGACTCGAGACGGCTGGTGTGAGCTCAGGATTTCCAACTCAGGGCAGGCTGTTGGTGCTTTTGTAAATGGCCAAGGATGGCTCTCCACTGAAGTTACTGTGGGCTTGTTTTGTTGTTGTTGGTTTTTTTTTGGTGCTCATCTTTTCCATATTTTAATCTCATAATCAAAAGCATCCAATTATATGATTTTGAGATCAAAGAGATGTATAACCTATATCGTTGACTTGTTTGTAAGTGATAGGCATTTGTTGTTTTCTGTTAACTGATACTTTGGGGCATTTTCACTCTTTCAGATTTAAGGCATTGCATCACTGTACCAAAAAATTCTGTTTTGTAAAGAAAACACAGCTCTCATATTACATAAGTTATCCCAAGGCAACAACATCTCTGTGTCTGGTCAGATGGCTGTTTGTTGCCACTCACATCAGTGTTATCACCAGGGGAGAGCATGGGGTCTCCCCTTCCCTTGGAGTCCCCACTTCTCTGCATCAACCAGATTATGAGTTTTCTATCATAAGAAAAAAAAAAACAACGCATGGCTAATGATGTTTCTGTGAGGAATTATGCTTCCGTATCTAAGTTTAGGAGGGAAGTTAGTGGGATGTCCCAACATCTGCGTTCATGAGAAATCAAGCTTCCAGAATTTGCAGCACAGTGGTGGGGAGCGTTTCCTAAGCACTTCCCTCTGGCTCCGCAGAGACTATCCCTGCCCGGGTGGAGTGTGTGTGTGTGATGTCAGCACCGAGCTCTGCAGTTTGGAGCTCAGCAAAACTTGAGAGCTTCCCTTCCTAAAACCCAAACCTAGTTTAATCAACTGCTGGGAAATATGATGTCAGCACCAAGCTCTGCAGTCTGGATCTCAGCAAAGCCTGAGAGCTTCCCTTCGTAAAACCCAAACCTAGTTTAATCAGCTGCTAGGAAAAGCAGTTTGCCAAANCTAGTTTAATCAACTGCTGGGAAATATGATGTCAGCACCAAGCTCTGCAGTCTGGATCTCAGCAAAGCCTGAGAGCTTCCCTTCGTAAAACCCAAACCTAGTTTAATCAGCTGCTAGGAAAAGCAGTTTGCCAAAACGCATCCTCCCCTTCTGTTAGATCTGATTCATTATTTCATTTGTTACTGAAGAAACACACGCGGATCCCAGGAATTTCTCCGTGGTTTGTGCACCGCGGTTTTCTATCCATATGCTGCTCTCTGGGGTGGGAACAGAACTCAGATGGATGCAACTTTCAGAAGTTTATTTTGACGGCTTTTCTCCTGTGTTGACATGCCTCAGGTAGGGCAGTGGGTGTCCCGGTTGCCTCCTGGGTTGGCTGAGGAGGTGTGATTCGAAACCACAGCAGTCCAGAAAGACCATACCCACACTTTGGCGCCAAGCTGGTCCTTTAGATACTCATTTAATCCTCTCTTTGGGGATGTTTTCTGTTTTTATTGCTATCAAGAGGCTACTGGATGAGAACTTCTGTTTGTGAATACAAGATGAGAACATTGTTACCTGTAGCTAGCATTGATTTGGAAGGTTCCGGATGTTGCTTCTAGAAAAGACTTCCTGTTGACTGTGGGAAGGGGCCCACACCTCCTCACCACCTCTGAACCTTATCTTTTTTTTTTTCTTTGTTACTTCTGTAGGGGGAGAATGGCATCTTGTGTTAATCTGTATTTTTCTGATCAGCAGTGAGATGAACATTTCCTTTCACACATTTGGTAGCAGCATATTTAGAAAGAGTGGTGGCGGTGGTTAGTCACCAAGTGGTGTCTGACTCTTGTGACCCCATGGACTGTAGCCTGCCAGGCTTCTCTGTCCATGGGATTCTCCAGGAAAGAATACTGAATGGGTTGCCATTCCTCAGGGGATCTTCTTGACCCAGGAACTGAACCCAGGTCTCCTGCATTGCAGGCAGATTCTTTGCTGACTGAAAGAGAATCTTGCGTGTTCAGTCAATCAGTGAAGTTTCCCCAATGAGCCCCACCCACTACCCCTTCACCCCCTGCTGGGAGAATGAGAGTAAAGCATTTGTTGGTGGTGGAAGTGTTCCCCACCCAGAACTTCTCTATCTGCAGGAGTGTGGGGAGCATGGGGACTGGATTCACTGTGTATTATGCTTTGGATGGCCCCATGGAGACCTGCCCACCTCCTAGAGGGGTATCAGCTTAAGCAAAAGGTTCCATGTGCTGTGGTTGTTTTTTGTCTGTTTGTTAACATTTTATTCATGTGTTTGTCTGTGCCTGGTCTAAGTTGCAGCATGCAGGATATTTAGTTGCAGCGCGTGAATTCTTAGTTGTGGCATGTGGGATCTAGTTCCCTGAGCAGGGATCGAACCTGGGCGCCCTGCATTGGGAGCACAGTCTTAGCCACTGGATCACCAGGGAAGTTCCCTGTGTGCTGTGTGTGATGTTTCCAAGGAAGTGCAGAGTTTCCGTAGTGAACGGGACACTGGACATGCGTGAGTGGTCTGATTTTCCTTGATGTCGCTTCCCCCTGTTTCTCTTGCTCACCAGCCCCCAGAAGCATCTGTGGCTTAAGGTCTCAGGCACGCTTCTGAGCTGGTTCTCGAACCAGTCCCTGTCTGTACTTTGAGCCAGAACTAGTGAGACCTTAGGGAACCCTGAGATTCTTCAGGAAGGTGGAAATCAGAGGTCTCACCTGTCTGTCAGATCCATGTGTTTTTGGGCTTTAGGTCATTTGTAATCAGTGGTCGAATGAAAATCAAAGCCAGGCTTAGCAAAAGTCTTTATTTGAAAGGATTATCGTGGGGACCCAGGGAGGGAGAGAGATGTGTGGAGACAGATGTTGCCGTGGAGAGTTGTGTGACCATGGCAGGCACATCAGGGATCAGGCACTCTGGGTTTTTCCTTTGTAGGGAGGTGTTAGACCGTCTGTAAGATCCAGGTGTGGGGCAGTGGGATGAAGAGTGAGGGGTGGTAGATTGGAGGATGTGTCCCCCAAGGCCGGCCTGTTCTCAGCGGGGCTGTCTGAGGGCTCAGCCTGGCTGTGGGTCGAGGGAGGCCTGGGGGAAGAAGAGAAGCTGAAGCAGAGTCAGGTGACAAGTGTTTCGTTCCGGTTGATTTTTGGGGATGACCGTTCAGCGCATCCTGGCCGAGGCCCAGAATGGAATTGGGGGTACCTGTGTCTCACCTGGTCTCAGGTGAATGTGGCTTCCATCTTGTCTGAGTCCTATGCGGTGAGCCCTTCCTGCATCACAGAGGGACGGGACTGTCTACCTGCCGATCGCAGGGCCACGTGCAATCAAGTCTGCCAGGCAGAGCTCTGCAGGGCATGGTCTGTGGTGGTGGCGGATGGTGGCTGCTTGGATTCCGTGCTGCAACCACCTGGGCCCTGAAACCTCAGCCTGCCCCGCCCAGGCTTTTCCCACGGGGACCTGCTTCCAGGAGAGGCAAATCTGAACTGGGCTGTGATGGACTGGTGGGGCCTGCCACACACAGGAGTGGCTCTGGGGACAGAGGGCCAGGTGAGGGGGCGCTGACCGTCTGCAGTGTCGGGTCCGCCAGCTGCATCGTCGGGCTTGGTCAGCGGGGTTGAGGTTGTGGAAGGAAGGCGCGCCTGCAAAGGGCCTCCTCAGCATCTCACTCCTCCTCAGCTCTGACTGGGAGACAGTTAAAGTAGGCCCACCCTGTTTTTAAGGTTATTAAAGTGAAAGTGTTAGTCACTCTTCTCCAGGGAATCTTCCCAGCCCAGGAATTGAACTGGGTTCTCCTGCATTGCAGGCAGATTCTTTACCAGCTGAGCTACCAGGGAAACCCTTTTATATCCATAACTCATTTTAAAACTTCAGTTCAGTTCAGCTCAGTTGCTCAGTCGTGTCCAACTCTTTGTGATGCCATGGACTGAAGCACGCCAGGCTTCCCTGCTGATTTAAACATTGTTAAGTCATGTTTAACATTAAACATTAAACAATTTAAACATTGTTAAATTCTTTTTTAAAAATGAAAATGTAAACACTGTTGACATACTGACCTTGAACTCACCCACAGTTTCTTACTATACGATTCTACATTAGGGACCCATTTGAAAGCCTTGTTAATTCTACTTTGCTAGCACTCACACCATTGCTGGCAAGGCCTGACCCGCCCCCACTCCTTTTGTACCTCCAGGAGCTCATGCTAAGTGCTCATGAGGCCAAGGAGGGTGGCATGGATGGAATCAGGGTGCAGGTGACACTCTTTGCTCATGCAGATGCTGACCTTACCTGGTCTTACCTGGCCATGACTGAGCCCTGGGGGCCTGTCGAGTGTCCATGGCATTTTGTCTGTGTGTAGGATTGGCGGGTAAGCGGTTCCGGTTCACAGTTTGCTTGCTAACGTGTCCCCTTTTCTCTGTCTCAGACTCTGCCATCCCAGCGGGAAGGAAGAAGCCGCATCCCAGTTGCTGATGTGTTTGATAACGCCGATCATCAGGTAAGGGATGAAATCTGCCTACCGAGTGCGGTTCTTTTTAGAGGTGGCTCCTGAGCAGGTCTGGTCGTAGGTGTTTCTCCCATCAGTGAGCAGCTTCGTCTGTTTATTACATTTCTGGCCCCAGCTGGTGATGGGAAGGCAGAGGAGGAAAGCTGGTATCAGAAGGATCAGGTGGCTCTGCTGGAGGGCTCACAGTCTGTGTGGGGGCTGCGGCAGCAGACACCAGGGCAGGAGGAGGGCTGCTGTGGGGGCTGGCCCAGGAGTGGGGTGTCTGTGGTCAGCGCCAGCTTCCCTGGGCGGGAGGGGAAGGGCTGGGGCTACAGAGTGGAGTCCCTGCCCAGCCTTGGCACGAATGCCAGCTCTGAGCCCCCTCACTTCCCATCCATCGTTGTCTTTGATGCTGCTCTCCTGCGGGGAGGTGGGCAACATCTTAGGACCTCCAGTCTCACACCCTGGCAGTCATACCTAAACTGGATTTGAACCTTTGGTACCTGCCATGGCCCTGGAGGGCCGTCTTCAGCTCAGGGTCCACCTTGGGGCTCCATCTGGAGCTTTCATCGCGTTTACTTGCTCTGAATGAGCCAGGAGAGAAGAGAGCTTCTGAGGGAGCCTTTCCGTTTGTTTGGGCTGGGAGCCAGCAGCCCAAGAATAAGCTTCCAGAGAGCTCACTTTGTGAGCTGGCAGCTCTGGACATGGCCGTGGAGGAGGGTGGTGGAAATGTCGGGTGCCCGCCCCGTCAGTCCCTCCCCGAGCTGGGGGGTAGGGGGTGGGCCACGGCCACTTGAGACCCGCATACATCTGTGCGTGTCCCGGAGAGAGAGCTGGAATAGAAGTCTGTCCAGACGTGCTTGCGTTAGAGGGAGTTTCCAGGAGTAACTTTTATTTGCAGTGTGTACACAGGACATTTAAGTACCGCGTCCTCTCCAGGTACCCGTCCTGCTGGCGGAATTGTTCTCTGAGGGAGCCTTCAGGGTTTGGTCCCCAGGCTGGCTCCTGGCCCAGCCCTGCCTCCCCGACTCTGGGAACTGCCCCACCCCCGTGTTAGGAATCTCCCCCTGGCTTTACCTTTCACATTATAAACAGATGGTTTACAAAAGGTAATTGAAAAGGAAAAGCTTAGGAAGATTAAAAAATATTCTAGAACCTGTGTTGAAGAGAAGAAAACAACTCATTTCCGGGATCAGCTTTGCTGCTTTGAAGTGGTTCAGATAGAAATTGGCGGGGTGGGCATGGTCTCTTGTTTGCAGATGGGGCAGGTATGTCCTTCTGTTGCTGCTGCTGGCCCATCTGTCTCTATGATGAGAGTCTTGGGGATGTGCTTGAATCAAGGGCAGCCTCTGCAAGGAGCTGACCACTGAGATTGTGTGTTCTCCCACGAGATTGGGGACCAGGTGATCTAGCTTCAAGGTGTGGGATGGTCGGGGTGCTGGGGTACCCACCTTGGGCACATCACCTGCCTGGGGCTTCCCCGGAGCATTGAACAGGAGGGACATGAGGGAATCTGAAGCCTCCCAGGATCAGATTCATGTGGATGTCTGACTGGAGGTACAGTTTTATGTCTCACCTGTGATTTTTTTTTTCTCTTAGACTCAAACTCCTAAAGCCTTCCTGCTTCTAGTGAGAGCTCGGGTAAAGGAAGTGAATTACTCTGACTGTTTTGGTTTTGGTGATGCCTACCTAACAACCACACAGTCTTTTTCTTACCAAGCATGCCCTGTGAGTGCTGCCTGGGTACCAGGGTGGCCCTCAGAGGCAGGGGGCTCCACAGCTGCGAGATAGGCCACCTGTCCGTAAGAAGTGTGCTTTTATTTTCAGCACATGGCATTCAGTGTCTTGCAGAGCTGAGAGTGGCATGACTGTAGATGTAATTGTTGTTCAGTTGCTTAGTTGTGTCCGACTCTTTGTGACCCCGTGAACTGCAGCACAGCAGGCCTTCCTGTCCCTCACTATCTCCCAAAGATTGCCCAAGTTCACGTCCATTGCATCAGTGATGCCATCCAGCCATCTCATCTTCTGACTCCGTCAGTCTTTCCCAGCATCAGGGTCTTTTCCACTGAGTCAGCCGTTCTCATCTGATGACCGAAATACTGGAGTTTCAGCTCCAGCATCAGTTCTTCCAATGAGTATTGAGGTTTGATTCCCTTTAAGATTGACTGGTTTGATCTCCTTGTTGCTCAAGGGACTCTCAAGAGTCTTCTCCAGCACCACAGTTCAAAGGCATCAATTTTTTGTCACTCTTACTTCTTTATGGTCCATCTCTCATATCCGTACGTGACCGCTGGGAAGACCAGATGTAATTAAGTGACCCCGGAATGGGAGTTAGTTACTCCTGTGTGTGTCAGAAGGCCTGGGAGGGCTCTTTGGTCCACCGGCTGAGGCCCTGGAAGGCTGTCACCTGGATGAGCTCCCAGGACCACCTCCCAAGGGTGTGCAGAGTCCTGGGGTGCTGCTGTAACCAAAAATGAGTGGTCTGAGCTTTTAGACCTGAGGGACTTGTTAATGTAAAAACTATACATGACTCACTTCATTCTAATGCTGATCTGTGCAGGATGTTAGCTCAGTTGTGTCATTTAAGGCTTATAGTATAGATTATATTGCAGGAGCAACAGGTCACCCACACAGAGGCATGCACAGAGTGGTGTGTGTCCAAAAGCTGTTGTAATATGATGGGGGGGCCTGAGCACCCCCCAGCTCAGAGGCACCCCAGTCAGTCTCTAGTGAGAGACAGTCTGCATGGCACTGGTGCCCCTGTGTCCTGCTGAGGACGGGGCTCCGAAGAGCCAGGACTGGGGTAGACAGAGGGCTGTGTCCAGGACCTCCCTCCATGGCCGTCACCCGACTCTGATCTTGTTGGGTCCCTTTATAGTGAGTGGAAGCTTCTACACCTGCAGCCACACCTGGACCCGCACTGTCCAGCACTGTGGCCAACACCACTTAGGGCGAGGAGCATTCCACGTGTGGCCGGTCAGAGCCGGGCGGTGCGGTGCCTGGGGAGGCCTTAGACTCAGAAGCGACGGGCAGATGTCCTGTCCACAACTCTGTTTATTAGTTATGTGTTGGAGGGATTGGCTGTGTATTGGGCTTAGTCAAGTGTGTTGTTAACACAAACTTCACCTGTTTGTCTTTGCTCTCAGTGTGACTGGTAGGCACACGTGTAATCTGAGATCACACATGTGGCTCACGTGTGTGACCCGCCTGGTATTTCTTTGGGAGGCACAAGTCTAGACTGTGCCCTCTGCATTTGAATTTCTCCTTCGGTCGAGGCTGGGCCCACAGACTAGGGACTCAAAGAATGAGGAAGTGTCAGGCTTTGAGAATACCGCTCAGCCAGCTCTGAGTGCACTTGTGTTTGCCTTTCTGCAGACAGGGACTGTGCAGGGCCTTCAGGCTGCACATGGCCTTCCAGGCCTCAACCAAGAAATGGGTTTTGTGCTCAGATGGCGTTTCTCTTGCACACGGAACCGAGCAGTTGGCTTTGGTGAGCATGCTGCTCCCCGGAAAGGTGGTCCCGGCGCCCTGTTGATCAGGCTGCCCTTTATCCGGGCTCCCTGTTATCCAGGGTCCCCATTGCCTGGGCTTTGGTTTCCCTGTTTTTCGTGGATAAAGAAACGTGCAGTGCATCCTGCTTGGCCTGCCACGTACAGCTGTGGTCTGTGCACGCTTTTTGGAGTGCTGAGCCTGTGAGTTTCCGATGGCCTTGGTGAATCCCTGCCACTGATCTGATGGGGGGCAGGGACCACTGTTTAACCCTCTCCTGCCCCTGGAAGCCACGCCGACGATCTGCTGAATGGGGGCTGCCATTTGAGCAGCTGCGGGGCACGTGGCCCGAGTGCTGGGAGAGCCCCGCAGGCCTTCTCACATCTGGCTGGGCTATTTATATCCCACAAAGGCCTGTTTTTCTCTGAAAAGACGGGGCCTGTGGCGATGCTGTCAAGTGCAAGGGCCAGTGAAGCGAGCCTTTCAGTAAATGACTTTCTGGTGTGTCTGGCACGTTTTTGTGGCACGCACAGGCCTCAGGGTTCCACATCTGCCCGGTGCTGTTCTGCATGTGCACACGCAGAGCTTGGATGGAGCTGCAGCCCCGTTCTGGTGTTGGGGTGCATGGCTGGCCCCGGGACGTGGAGCCCCGTCAGCCTGCAGGCCCCATGACTCTTGACAGTGCCCTGAGCTCCTGAGCTGTGCTCCACACACTCTAGGCACTGGCCTGCCACAGTGGAGAAGCTTTCTGCTGTTGGGGAGGATGGACCACAAAGGGGATCAGTAAGTCAGATGTGGGGGTGAAGAGGCGCTGGGTGCAAAGAAGAGAAAGGAAGCAGAGAAAGGGTCCTGGGAGGGCCTCGCGGAGAAAGGGCAGTTGGTTGAGGAAAGATGAGATCTGGACCTGGGTTTCGGGAATAGTGTTCCAGGCAGAGGGGACAGCAGGTGCAAAGGCCCTGAGGTAGGAGTGTGCTCAGGTGTCAAGGAGGGGCAGGTAAGAGAAGACGCAGGTGGATGGTGAGCTCATGGTGCTCAGAGATGCTCAGATGGGAACCCTGGGAGCCAAGGGTTTGGACAGGACTGCTGGCATCTAGGAAGAATGGACCCTGGAAGGCAGGATGGGGCCCCCTGTTAGGAGGCTGTGAGGTGATCAGGGGAGAGGTGGTGGCTTGGGCCAGAGTGCAGCAATAGGGGTGGGAGGATGGCCCAGTCGGGCATTTATTTGGAAGTGAAGCTGAGTGGACTTGCCTCGAGGTTGGATCTAGGGTTGGCGGGGGGTGGGCACTGAGGATGCACTGAGGTTTTGGCTGAGCAGCTGGAAGGATGGAGGGTCCACTTACAGGCCAGCTCCACACAGGCTGTCTAGGAGGCATCCCGGGAGTATGGTTTGGGGCATGTGAAGTGTGGAGGGGAGGAGGTCCTGGGAGCTTCCACCTGGAGTCAGGGAGATGTTCAAGGGGTGGCCCTGAGGGGTGGGACCCAGCTCTACTCCCAGAGGGCAGGCTGTGTGGCCTGGGGCCATC